ACAGCTTCTACCCTGAGGCTGTTAGACTCATGAATCTCTAACCAGGAGAATCACTGTGAAAAACCATATCATGTTGCTGCTGATCTGTTTCATGTTGCTGCTGATGTGTTTCATGTTGCTGCTGATGTGTTTCATGTTGCTGCTGATGTGTTTCATGTTGCTGCTGATCTGCTTCATGTTGCTGCTGATCTGTTTCATGTTGCTGCTGATCTGCTTCATGTTGATGTGTTCATGCGTGCACATCTGCTCACAGACTCATGTTCATGTTTGTGGTGATGTTCAATGTTTTATGTTATGAGTGCTTAGTGTATATTTAGTTGATGTTTTTCTTAGTTCATATCTTAGATGTTATTACTGTTTTTCTTATACATTTTATTGTTGGATGTAACTGGGACCCTGTGTACATAATTTCGCTCCACCACATGTACCACATGAGGTGCGAATGACAATAAAGAAACTCTGACTCTCTCTGACTACATGTGTCCAGTTAACCGCTGTTTTGTGTCTGTCCAAACAGGTCTCACTTGTAAATGAGTCTTTGAGGCTCAATGTGACTTATCTGTTTAAATAAAGGTTGAATGAATGAATCCCAGCTGCTTCACACTCGGCTGTGAACCGCTCCAGTGAGAGCTGAAGATCACGGCCTGATGACGCCAACAGGACCACATCATCTGCAAAGAGCAGAGATGAATCCTGAGGTCACAGAACCAGACTCTCTGCTGCACCAAAAACTTCCAACAGTTTAAATGAATGGCTGAAAATGAGAACTTTGTATTTCAAACACTTTTCACATTTTAAAGAAATATCCGGTCCCAGCAGTCCTTCCTTCTATTTTCTTCTCAAATGGTGCTCCTATTGAATTTGTCGATTCTTACAAATACTTGGGCATCTTGGTCGACTCACATCTTTCTTTTAAGCTCCACCTGTTAAACTTGGTAAAGAAACTGGAAGTTAAACTGGGTTTCTTTTTCAGAAACAGATCCTGTCTAACTCTGAATGTTAGGAAACACCTTGTAACTGTGACTTTCCTTCCCTCCATTGATCACGGTGACATTATTTACATGAACGCTCCTACAAGAACCCTGCAGATGTTGGATGCTGCAGATGTTGGATGCTGCAGATGTTGGATGCTGCAGATGTTGGATGCTGTCTATCATGGTGCATTAAGATTCATAACTGGCTGTAACTACCGTACCCACCACTGCACCCAGTATCCACTGGTTAACTGGACATCATTAACTTCACACAGACTCTCTCACTGGTACATCTTCATCTTTAAATCACTTCCTGGTCTGCTGCCTTCATACATCTCCTCCTACATGTCTCTGTGTGAGTGCAGCTACAGCGTGCGCTCTCAGGACATCATTACCTGCAGTGTTCCCTCAGTGAGGACTGAACTAGACAAAAGGACCTTCTCCTACTCCGCTCCTGTTTCCTGGAATATCTTACAAAAAGATCTGAAGCTCTCGACCTTTGACCTCTCTAAGTGGCTTCAAACATCTGATAAGTTCATGGCTGAAACAAACACAGACATGTTCCTGGTTTTAATTTTCTACATTGCTTTATAATGTAGCTGTTTTTGTTACACTTTTTATATAATTTCTTCTATTTACTTTTCATTTTACATGCTTTTTATATGATTGTTTTTTCTAGTTTGTACCTCACCTGTGTTCTTTGTTAAATCAGGTCTCTGTTGTAAATGAGTCCTCGAGGCTCAGTGAGACTCACCTGTAGAAATAACGGTTGAATTGAATTAAGAAACTACTCAACATGCATTTTATTGTCTTACAACACATAAAAACCCTCAAAATAACGTTGTTTCTGAGCAAATCAATAAAGTGTTTGACTGATAAAAATTATTGTTTTTTTTCTGTTTTCTTTCATCAGATTCAATACAAACTTGAGTGAAGGCCTTTAGCAACAGAACTGGTCACAGGTTTGTAGAATTTAAAAATAAAGAGTAAGCCTCCCATCTGGTGGTCACTTATAAAAAATACACAAACATAAAATGTCTTTTTCTACCTGATGACTGAAAACTGAAAATGTAATGATGACAACACCTGCCTCTCACACAGTGATGGCTGGACATGGGCCCCAGGGACAGCAGGGACCTGGAAAGGAAGAAGCGAGTAACGAGATGATGATACATGGATGGATGATAGATGGATGGATGGATGATAGATGGATGGATGAT